TTTTTTTTTTTTTTAGCATCTTTGTCACAAATCAAATGACTTTAAACGTGGATCTATTTCTGGGCTCTCTATTCTACTCCATAGGTCCATTCTTATGGCATTACTACACTATTCCTCCTGTCAAGTAGTGAATTTGCTCTTTTCTGTTATTATAGTTGAGAGAAAACTGTACTTTTTAAAAGGAACTTCTTACTAGAAAGCTAAAGTGAGACAAAACTAAAACACAGAAGCTAATGAATTGTTAGAACTCAAGCTTCTTTATTAATTTAAGTATAGCCACAGGTTGAACTGTGTAGCTCAAAATTTCAGGACCTCTATTTCAGTCCCCCCCGCCCCCCATCTTAGTGGTGTCTGATGTTTGAGTAGTTGAATATTGACTCATATTTCTTAGACATTTATCTGGGAGTGGTTTGATTAGCACCAAATCACATCTCAAGCCCCTTTTTACTTGCGTGTAGTTTCCAAGACACACTGCTTTTTGTCTGCTATACATCTCAACTTAGAACTCATTGCAAAGTTGATGCATAGAGGAAAAGTTGTTTTAAGTCACTAAGTTTGAGATATTTGTTACAGCAATAGTAACTGAAGCATATGCCTTGAAGAGTTGTAATGAAGATAGATAAAATCATCTTTACTATTTTTAATTGATATTTGGTATTCCTCAGCAACTTATTTAACAAATGTCCACTATTAGATGTTAAGTTTATTGTCAAATTTTCTAAAGATTGTATTCATAGAAGTATAATTACTAAGTCAAATTGTTTAAATAAAGGTTTGGGAAGTACTAATGATCTCTGTCCTGTGTATATCTATTGGCTGTGTCACTATATATACATCCTCCCCCCTCATGCATATTGGACATCATGGGTCTTTACAATTTTGCCATTTTAGTGAACAAAAACACATAAACCCTGATTTGATTTTAATTTCATATGTGAGTTTGTTTCTGGAATTTCTATTCTGTTCTACTCTTCCATTTGTCTATTCCTGAAACAATGCACACTGTTTAATTATCCTGACTATGTGCTTTGGTAGGCAATTCTTCCCCTAATTTATTTTCATATTTCACTAGTTTCTTGGCATTTTGGTATGTGTCATGTATGTTTTGTGTGTGTGTGTGTGTGTGTGTATGTGTTTGTGTTTCATTAAAAATTAAGAATCATTTAATCCATTTACATTAAGCAAAACTCTTTGAATTGAACTGAATTTATAGATTAATGTTGGGGAAGAAATGATATTTTTTGTGCATTCTTTAGTGAGGGTTAGATTATTTACCTCATATGGGCAGTCTTGGATATTTCCAATAAAGTTTATATTAAAGTGTTTCATAGTTTTGATGCTATATAGGAGATATTTAGTGGTTATTGCTTATATAAGAAAGCAAATTATTGTTATTCATTGATCTATGTCTGGATCCTTATCAAACTCCTTTTTTCATTGTAATAGTTGTTTTCTTAATTGTTTCTTGAATTTTCTAGGTGGTCAGTTATTATGTGCAAATAATGAATTTTGTCTTTCTCTAACATTTATGCAGGTAGTTTCTTTTATTTTCATATTATGGTGACAAAGAAAGCTAGTATAATGCTGAATATTGCACTGGTGATGATGGTCATTCTTGTCTTTTATTTTATTCCTAATTTTAATGATAATACTTGTAATATTAAACCCTGAAATACAAAATTTACTGCAGTTTTCAGATTTTTTTTTTTTTTTAAATAGGAGTTCTTGTTAATTTCTTTTGCCACTTACTTTCTTTCGTTGTTGTTATGTACCATCGAGTTGGATCTGACTCATAGCGAGGGAAGTAGATTGCCCAACCTTCCTTCCAAGGAGTGGCTGATGGGTTTGAACTGCCAGCCTTCTGGTTAGCAGTCAAGTGCCTTAGGCAC